TATTTTTCTTCTCATTAAGACTTCAACATCCAGTGTGCGGCACATCTCAGTTCAGACTGGCCATGTTTCAAGTTCTAAACAACCACATATGATGAGAGTCTGCTTTGCTCGGTGGCTTGGGTCAGCCTCATCTCTGTGCCTGGAGGGTGTCTAGCATTTCCCAGGCATTCAGTAATGCCTCGCAAAATGAGCACATGATGCTATTTGGACAGGAAAAAACAAAGCAAAACGAAAACACAACTCAGAACTTGTTTTTCAAATGAGACCTTTCTTTTGCAGCTGTTTGGATGGACGGTGATGGTAGTAGACACCAGAGGTATCTGGATAATTTTTTCCAATTGCTTTTCACTTTGCCTACCTAAAGATTAAATATTACTAGTACTTGTTTGAAAACTGGATACTTCAGGAGTCACTTTAACAGATGCATGTAATGGTTGATGTATTATAAGAAGTAACTAATAGGTTCTTCTTTCAAAACTGTTCCAAAAGGCTTTCACTTCAATTCTTAGTTTTAACAGTGCACCAGATTTTAGTTGGGTAAGATGAACAGTTCTTAGAGATCTCTTGTGCAGCATAGTGACCAGAAAAAATAATAATATTATTGCACAATTAAAGTTTCACCAAGAGAATAGATCTTATGTGTATGTATCATGTACACACACACACACACACACACACACACACACACACACAAACACAGAGGTGGGAAGAGACTTGCAGAGGTGATAAATCCATTCACAGCATAGACTGTGGTGTTTTCATGGGTGTCCATTACTCCAAATCCCTCAGGCTGTATGCATTAAATTTGCACACTTTTTTGTCTTTCAACCATACCCCAAGAAGAAAGAAAGGACAAGCTAATGGGTAACTGGCAAATCTGGCCTAGGAATGAAAGAAAGGCTTGATGTGCAGTCCTGTCTAATTCCAGCCCTTGGTGCCAGCAGTGGATGTAGATGATTTATGATGTCTTCGAAGCTCAGTTTCTCATTCATGCAATCAAGTTTTTAACCTGTTGTGCCTTGTGTTTACATGTTCTCTCAAAGCTTCATTCTTTTCCAGGGATGGATAAATCTAGAGTGTGTGATGCTAGGATCAAAGGCGTGCGGTAACTGAACCACTTCTTGTGAGTGATTGGTTTGTCACCGCCCCGGTCCTGGTAGTCTGAATAAGACAGAAGGAGCAGAAAGACACTGTTAAAGCCCCTTGTTGCTTGTGTTACTTTCTGGCCTCCGTAAACCGTTTCTCTCGTTGCTGACATCCACTGCCATATGTTGTCCCTCCGCCATGTGCCATCTTTGTGTTGGATCCAGCTGAGTATGGGCTGAAACTGCTACAAACTGAGCTATATAATCTCTTCCCCGCTTTAACTTTGGGTTTTGGGTATTTTGTCTCAGCAATGAAAGTAACTAACGCATCGATCGTAACTATCTTCATTATATAGATAGTAGAAAAAAATATTAAATAAATGACAGTGCTATGATTGTGATATAATAGAAATTCAGTGGTTCATAGAAGTTTCTCTTTTCTTATTAGTATATGTTTGCAGTGATGCAGTTTACAATCATCTTGTGTAGTGGGTACATGTATACATAATCCTGTCCCTCTTCCTCTAAATCCCCTTTCCCCACTTCCATTCTTTTTGATATTATTAATCTTAGCTCATATTTATAACATATAATGTTTATATTCACTGCGGTTGTTAGGTTTCTGTGTGTGATGAATCTTTATTCTACTTACTTCCCCCTTCCTCCCCCTTCTCCCCTCATCCAGGGTGTCCTGGACTCCTTCCCATTTGCAAGAGGTCTAAGAATGTTTAGTTGCTCATTTTAGTTTATATGTGTATGAATTTTAAATTCTCTTCCTGTTAAAATGCCCTTATTGATCTGACTTTGAAATTTGCTACTTAACTTACAATGAGATCAATTTATTTTTTTGTTCACAGTATTATATGGAAATTGGTGGAAAATAGTATCTACCTAAGCACTGTGTCAAGCACATATAAATACTCAAAGAGTTTAATTGGTATTCATTTCTTAGGTCCAAAAAATTTCTATTTTGTTATTTGTTCATTGTATACTTAAAATCTTCAGCATGCTTTCCTTTTGCCAGTGGTTTTATAATTTCTATGAAAAGACACTAAGTAGGCTTGAAGCCAACTTGAGCGCATTTGACATTACTCGTTTGTTTCCTTTACTGGGTAGTTTTGGCCCACAGGCTGGGCTCACACTTGTGATATTTCTGCCTCCACCCGACAGAATGCTGGGATTACAGATTGCACCACCACACCCACCTCCTTCGCTCCTGTCTTATTTCAGATCTTCTCCAACCCTTAGCAATAGACCGAGTGATTCTCCTAGTAAATTAGCATGTGAGGAGCAGCCTATCAGGGCTGATGGTGTAATGATGCATGCGTAAGGTCAATACTGTCTCTGTGTTCCTGTCGTATTGCGTAAGGCTCTTACCTGTCTTTCCGCCTTCTCTTTTGTCCTTTTTCCCCCACTATCTTCTAAGCCATCTCTACTCAAAACATCCCTACAAAACCCTTCAGCAGTCAACATTGCCTAAAGGTCAGTGTCCAAATTCTTTACTCAACATAAGGGCTTGCCATGTGATTCTTCTGTCAAACCCTGTGATGGAATGCCTGTTCACTCCAGACTGTGCCTTTCAGCCCTGTATCCTTTAAGACTCAGCTCTGAAGCTACTTCTTGTTTCTTTTGGCCAGGGTAGTTCGTCCTTTGAAAGCCTGACACAGTATATCAACCTCCTTTATGACAGTCACAGGGCCCTAAATATTATCCTTTCCTCACCTGGCCATGAGAAAGTGAGTGAAACCTCGGCTGACATCCTTTTTGGATAAGTGCGTAGCTCTAACAATATCAAAAAGGATACAGCTATGTAGAACCTCCGTCTTCACTGAAATACAATTTGCTTTGGAATTGTTTTAACTAAAGTGGAAACAAGCAGGCCAAGGAATGAGGCAGAATTTCATGCTCATAATTTCAATCCAAACCCTAGATTATATAAACATAAAAGCCTGAACTCTGTATTAAATAGTAAGCAAATGAATAGATTTGTTCCCTGTATTACAATCATTTCTTTGAAGCAATCTGAAAATAGTCAGAACTTTCTTGTAAGCTATTTGGAGAATGATGCTTTGGAAAGCCATGAGTATTTAAAAAATATTTTGTCTTTAAATTACAGGAAACTTACCTGGCTTTGAGTCTTGATTGAGTGATTAAGAGTTTGTCTCCTTCCTATGTGGTGTCCTGGACCTTTTTAGTCCCAAAGTTAAATTATCATGGTCTTCAGGAAAATGGCATTCATGTTACGGTGATTTCAGTTCTATAGCTTCCGGTGGTGAGTCATGGGAAAGAAGTATTCTGTCTCCTAATGTCCTTCCCACTTGATTCTTATTTGTCTTAGATATTTAATGGACAAGACTTTTATGAATTTTCTAGTGAGTCTTGTGATGGCATTTCTTTTGGTTTTTTTCATTATTATCTTTTTCCTCCTTCTTTTTTGCCTCTTTCACTATGTTCTAGGGATTGAACCCAGGACTTTCACACTGAAATGTATCCACAGCCATTTTAATTTTGAAACAGAGCCTCTAAATTGCCCAGGCTTCCTCCTCCTCTTCCTTTTCCTTTTGCTTTTCTTTCTCTTCCTCCTTCTGCTCCTCTTCTATCTTGTCCTTATTTCTTCAATAATTACTCTTGAAAACATTTCTTTACTCCTCCATCTCACAATGCTTGTTCCATCTTAAGGGCATGGAAGTTACTGAGTAGGAAAGAATGACACTGTCTTTGCTATACTTTATTTTCATATAGTATAAATGTATACATGGGGCAAAAAAAAAGAGAGAGAGAGAACAAAGTCAATCAAGCAAACAGTTGATTTCCCAGGATACACCATGTCTAGGCTTGGAAAGAAAAGTGAAATACCTAGATTTTAAAAAGTAAGAGAGAGTTTTGTGTTTGATTTTTTACCCTTCTTCTAAGTCAGGGAAGAAAAGAATTACTTTCTAAACGGGAAATGTAATACTGTATCTTTAAAATTCAAAACTTGTTGTTTAGTGTTTCCATGATACACATCAGTACACTACTTTTTCACTTCCAAGCCATATATTAGAAGCTAAAGCTTCTTGGGTTCTGTAGATTGGCCATGTCAGTTTTTTTAGAATGTAAGGCAATGGACTTGTGAATGTACATTGTACACTTCCCATGTTAACTGAAGGAGTTTTAAGGTCACCTCTGTTATGTATGTAACTTTAAGATCATAATGATCAGATGTAGATGTCTGTGCTTGGATTTGATGTATGAGAGATGATGAGTATGTACTGTACCTTATTTTAGAGGAGGTACCCCACATGTCTGTGCAGAAATGGATAACATACCCTAACAGCAAAAGTTTTGTGTTTTAATTCTTTATCCTTTGTGGATTAAAACCTCAATATTGAAATATAATCTTGAAACATATTGCAAATATGTTTGAGAAGTCTATAAGCAATGTCTAAACTTAACCAATAGGCTGAACGTGTAAGACATACAGTCCTTTGGCTGAAATATTGAAAATTAATGCATAAATATGTTTGCTAACACTGTGCTTCGTATCAGAACCAGATTATTATTATGCACTTTCATCAGAGACAGAAGCAGTGTCATTGGGAAAAAAAAAAATTCTTAGTGGATTGAGAGCAGTATGCTTAGTTCCTAACAGGGAAACTTAGTTCTTTGGTTTCTTTGTTTCTTTCATCAGGCTGGTCCCCAGCTATTTTAGCTGAACATTTTACATACTAATGGAGAACAGGAGAGTGGATTTGGCAGTTGTTCGTGGGATAATAATGAAATATGCAATTTAGTACTGCATGCTGTTGCTGTAAAATGTGAGGAATATTTTATAGAGATCTTGGTGAGCAGAACTGTATCCACTTTAGCAAGTGTGTGACCTTGAGTGTGGAAGTCAAATTTCATATGAGAGTAACTGGTACTGTTTTCTTACAGGTAAAGAAAACGTGCACAGAAGCTGATGTTTCAGAACCTCAGAATTCCAGGTACAGTAAAATAAAGATCAAGATTTATTAGAGTTTTGAGAATTACTAGAGTATTATGCCATGCATCACGCACAACTGTTACTTGAAACATCGAGTGTCTTAAAGAATTTATGTGCATGGAAATTAGGTATTACATTGACTAAGGTAGCGTTAATCATATTATCAATAAAGAACACTGTGAAGTTACCTTTAAAAATGATTATAGAAATATCTCTAGACATACTTGAAATTCATTCCCTTAGATGTTATTTTAAGTTAACCTTACTTTTTCATTCTACTCTATTCTTATAATACATTTAGATATGAAATCGTTCCTGGTATGGAATAACTGATACATCTATATTTACAAAAAACATAAAACAACCTCCCAAAAATATTTTTCTGATGAAACACTGCTAGAGTTTGAGAATGCTGTCAAGTTGTTAAACTCAGCAATAACTTGGCATGGTCTTTTTGCTTATTAGAAACTGGTAAAAATGAAGAATTAAAACTGTCAGGCCACTCAGCGGAAGAATGTAGCACCATTTTGTTGTTTGTGGTTGGAGCAGATCCCAAACAGATTTTCAGGCCTGTGCGTTTTTATTACCTTCACTTCAAAACTTAGGCCTCAATCTTAAATGGAGAAGCAAAAGTATTATAAATACCATGACAGTAACAAACATATGTCCTTGATAGGATCTTAATGACGTGACTTACCCTGTTAAACTAAGAAATTTGTATTCATTGTGAGATGGGTACTTGTGTCTTAAGCTACTCACTGTAGCATATGATGTTGTTAATAATTTTCTTGGTTCAGAAAAACAATACAAATCTGGATAAAATGTTAATGGCCACTATATTTTTCTTTTGTAGAGCAAGTGTGTTGTATGTACCAGTATGATACGCTTTTCACTGATTCTTCGAGATATCAAAATGATTGTACATGTATAATCTGTCCCTTTGATCTTTAGTCTTTCTAATTAGCTATCAAATAGGATGAAATGTTTCAGCTTATCGGAGCATTAGGAAATGGGTAAGCCATGTAAAGCAGAGTAACAGGATGTGTAGAGAGAAAGGAGAGCTGGAGCGCTATGTCTTGTAGGGGCTTTCTTGCAAATCATTCTGAATACTTTGCAGGACTGTAGAAGTAATTCAGCCATTTTTGTAAGTAGGGTATCTTTTTTTTAAAAAAAAACTTTATTTCAATGTAGTCCAAGTAGATACTAACAAAGAAAATATTTGTTAAAAACAGTCTTCTATGAAAAAACAAAGCAAAACAAATTAAAGAAAAACAGTCAATACACTGTGTATCTTGAAGATACAGTATATCTTGACAGATCAGTAAGAAAAACAGCAGTATAATCATCTGTATTATTAGTATTTTATATCAATGTTTATGCTTAAGGTTGCTCAGGATTTTTGTTTGTTTGTTTGTTTTTTGGTACTGGAGATGGAAATTGGGATCTTGTATTTGCAAGGCAGGCAGCAGCACTGAGCTAAATCCCAGGCCCGTCAGTATTTTTTGATAATACATTTTAAGTCAATTTGGTAGAAAGCTACCAAACTGACTTGGTGTTCACAGGTTGCACCAGTAAGTTAGAGAAACATTTAAAAGTTTTCAGAGTTCAGTGGAGTTTGAAATTAGATCATTCTTTTTTATGTAGGAAAGTTGTAGCCTGTGTGACTTTAGAAGTAGTTTCAGAGCTCAGGGGGTCAGTCAGTGGTAGAGCACTTGCCTCGCATATGGTAGGTGTCTTCACCACTGCATCAAAAACAAAAACAAAAAACAGAGGAGGAAAATACATTTTATTTTTAAGATAAGTACCATTTATTTCTAAAGACTGTTAAAAACATATTCTATTATTTAACAATGTTATCTGTAAATTGAAAAGTGGCTGCAGTTCTAGAAATTAGCAGATATTTTCCATGGATCAGCTACTTCTTCAAAGCTACTTTCTATATAATATAAATCGGTAAAATTAGGCTAATGACTTTCTGAGAATGCTCAAGCTTTCCACAATCAAAAACAAATCCACTAAATAAACAATCCTTATCAAATTCCCTAGATGGAAAAGCCTTCAGGAGAATCTCGGGTCACCTGCACTTTCGGGGTGCCCAGGCATCTTCGCAGTGACCGGTTTCTTTCCTGATTTTTGTGGCAGTGACCAAACTCCACACTCTAGCCGGTGTCAGTAAAGTAAGGTGTGGTCGGTCGTTCTGTGATTATGAAATTTAGTTACTGACATTAAATCTGAGAGAGGCCGAACTGATGCTCATGAAGAAAAGAATAAAAGAAGAGCAATTTGTATAAAAGCATATGATAAGTACTGAATAGTTAAGGAATCAAGACAAGCTGAAAATAACATTTTTTATGTGCATGCACTGAGGTTCTGCTCTTATAGCCCTAAGCAGTGATTTTGTAATATGCATATAGATTCATTATTTTTTGACCATTAAGAACCATAACATTTATATATTCTCCCTTTTCCCTTTTCCTCAATCCACTTGCAAATGTATGTGTGTGTTTGTGTTTGTGTGACAGTTGGGTTTTAGAGTTTAAAGCCTCCTCGTGCTTCGTATTCTGTTCCAAACAAACCTTCAGTAAAGACTTGAGCTCAAAATGAAATATACTGTATCAGCATAAAATGCAAGCTGGAAGCCCACTGCCTTACAAAATGCTCCTCACTTGGAACCTAGAGCTAATGTCATTCATTTGTTTAGCCAGCTTTATAATTTGTTGGCTTTGTATTTTCAATGATTAGAATAAATGCAGATCGGAAAGTGATTTGACAGTAGAGCAGTAATTAAACTGGGTGTGGAGGCTCTGTCAGGAGAATTGCTGCAGTGGGATATGTGTATCAGCAAATTCTTTGCCTTGCTTGACCCTAATGCCTTTTGGAAAAAAAAAGAATGCTTGGACTGCAGATGTAACTAGTTGATTGGGGAAAGGAGAATTTACAAACCCATGCAGTATGAGCGACGCATTACATATATGTATTAAAAGCTAGACTTCAGGGACAGTATTTGCTCTGCTTCCTAAAGCTATTAAATTTGATGTCTCATGGAATGGACTATATAATACACTTCATGTAAAATTTTACATTTTTGGAATATTTACCTTCCTTTTTTTTTTTTCTTTTGTGTTGCTAACCATGTCTGGAGTATACTACTCTTGGCCTCTATTCTTAAAAATAATGTTAATCATAAAATATGTTCTTTAAAGAATTAAAGTTTATATTTATCTCATGTTTTTCTTATTCTCAAAGTAAGTCTGCTACTAGATAAGCCATCTTAAAAAGTAAACAGAAACTTAATTTTTAAGTTGATTTTTTTCAGTATGGATGGTAAATTTATCGGCATAGATTTGTGCCATATTTAGGTCACTTTAAAAGTACCTGGTTCTCATTAAATATAAGAGATAGCTCCTGGGAAACTGAATTTTTTACCAGATGTTTCCCTGAATCTCACATTTGAAAAAAAATTCTTCTAATTTTAGTCCTTTTTATTTCTGAGGGGAGAGGAAATAATTTGCCTTATTCTTTCATTGGATCCTTTATAAATATTTTACAGTTCTTCTAGGTTAAAGTACCCTGTGTTATACTCAAGTGATTTTGTTGTTGTTGTTGTGATCTTTTATTCAGTTTCTCTTTGCCTTTTCTCTTCTGGGTTTTCTCTTTAGTGTAGTGTCACCAAGAAGACAGCAGAGAAAGGATTTAAAACTCAATTCAGGCATTTTTATTCTGAACTTATTCTTTTAACTAAGGAGTGAATGGAAATTAAAATTTTGGTGAAATTCAGCTGTGAAATAACTTAGAGCAATTATACCAACTATTTTCCTTTAGTGGCTTCATCTTATCCTGCCTACAGTACTGCCAATAGAGCACAATAATGAGATTAAAGAGACACTATTAAAACAGAAGAAGTATTTACAGCGCATGGGAGCTAAAATGACAATTTTTCCACGTAGTGAGTAGAAAAGACATTCCATGGGTAATGAAGAGAGTTGATCTTCCCATTTTGTAAGCTAAAGACGTTGAGTTTTCTGAGAACTTAATGATTGCCTGAAATCAGCAAAGGGCCCAGTCTGTATCTCCTTGTTTGGGTCTTTGCTAACTTTATTTAGTTATCCAGAGAAAGGCACAATGACTGTCCAACTTTAAAGAAGTATTGGAATACACTTTTGCTTGATAGCTGGTGTTTTAGTGAGCCTAGGGAAGTTTATCAATTCAAGGTTTAGCTGTAAGAGCTTTAAAAATGCAGTGAATTCATCATCTTAAATAGTTATGATTTAACAATGCTACAGTTAAGGCATTCAACTATACATATTTATTTACTAGGATAGCAACTTTTGCGATGCTTCCAGAAGACTGAAATGTTTATCTGCACATAATTGCCTGCCTAAAAATTAAATGCTATATTGTTTTCACTGCAGGGAAAGCTGAGGAGCCCTTCATGAAAACATGCATACTTTCTTTCTGTGCCAAATCAGAGGTGCATCTAGTCCAATATTCTGTCTTCAAAGGTCATTACTGCCAGGTTACATTTCCTCAAACTGGAATATTTGGGAATGTAGTTCCAGTAAGCTTAAATTCTCTCACTAACACAAGTGAGCTGTGTAGTTCCTGTAATTATAGAACATTTCTTGGACTCAGATATATTATTAGCATATGCTGTTTTTGACTAATGAACCCAGAAAATTACTAGTCACGTGCAAAATAATCGACTCCTTCCAGTTATTTCGAACAATCTCTTTCAAGTCTTAAGGCATGTTTCTTCTGAAAGCCATAGGTGATTGACGGATATTCTAAAAGTGTGGTTCGACTCTCCTGTGATTTAGTTTTAACTTGAGTTGTGGCATTCCTTAATCCTTTTCTTCCAATCGCAGTGTTTTGTCTGGTTGCATGGTTGGGCCTCGTCTGGACGGCTCTCCATTCTTTTCATCACTTTTCTCCATTCACTGGAGGTTTTCTGAACTCCACTGACAGATTGCTACAGGTATGAATTCAATTGGAGTTGTGAGT